TTTCTTTCTTTTTAAAATAAATTTTATTAACTGAATTGTTAAAACATTGGACACGGTGTGATCATCCTGATATTTCTTTTTGTCATATATAATATATAATACATATTATATATATATACATTTATACATTTGTACAGTTAATTTATATCCATTATATTATCCTTCATATTCAGTTGTGTTTAATTACATAGTCTCGATTACCCATTCTACAAATCCTGCACATTTTTTTTATTCTGGGTCCGTCCTTCTGTTCTGTTCCCACCATTGACAAATTTTACTCCATATCTTGTAAAACTCTGTTTCATCTTTATGGTTCAGTTCCAAAGTCAATCAATCCATTTCAGCACATATCAATATCTTCTTTATCACCCCATCTTCATTGGGAATCTCTCTATCCTTCTATTTTTGAGCAAAAGTCATTCTTGCTGCCATGGTAATAGGTCTCCTCTTTATTATATCTGTCTGTCATAATTCCACATAAAAATAGTTCCAGTTTGTAATCTATTTTCAGTCTTGTCATCTCTTCTAACCACATCTGAATCCTATGCCAAAAGTCTTGTGCTTTTCAAAAAGCTTTAATTTCTTTGATATATGAAGAAGGGAGTGGCCCAACCTATTCAGAATTGAAGAGAACTATTCCACTAATGATTATAAATTATGTCAAGCACCAGGGAAATCAGGAGATTCAGGCAGTCCAAATGAGTATAAAGATTTATTGCAATCTTAAACTTTTTTTTACAAGAATCGGACCAACTGGCGGTCAAAGGAAATGACAAGGAGATAAGAGAGGCATTCAAGTTGGGCTGGACTTAGATCTCTTGTAGGCATGCAGGGACTTGTGACTTATGACACATTTGACCCCTCCTTGGGCTCGGACTAGTCACCCGCTACATACTGATTTATATTTTTTAAAAAATAACTTTTGGAAAAGCAGGTTGGATTGTTCCTCCAGGTTTGGTGGCAGTGTTGTAAGGCACAACATTTCAGGAAAATAATGTATAATAGAATGAAGCAAATTTTGAAGGAAGATTTTTCTTTTTGGTCCACTATTTTTGATTAAATATTACTAAACCTTATTGTTCTTTAAAATATACTGGACTGTTTTTATGTGTGGTAACAGCTGCTATAATAATGTATGCTTTATGTGGGAAAGTATAATTCCCATTAAGGAAAAATGGCAAATTAAGTTATAGAAGCAATGTGAAAACTAATTTCACACAAAAAATAAATCTGATATAGAATGTAATTCAATGCAGTAAATATTTTTGGATTATAATCTCACAAAACATTTATACCACATATAAAATTTAGTCTTCTCTTGACATAAAATTATATTTTTATGTTCTGTTTTTTCTCCCCCCGAATATGTTATATATTCATTAAATGTTTTAATTAAGATAAAATTAATTAATATTTTTCTGGGACTAGAGTTTTTAAATTGAATCATATTAAAAGTTATCAGTTACTACATAATCTCATTCTAATATTAACACATTCAAAATTCAAATTGATATAGTTTAATGTATAGATTTATATCAAGTTCATTTTTCTTGTCAATTTTACAGTGCTTCTAAACTTTTTTTATCTATAATTTGCTTTTTCTATATGGCCATTTAATAATAATTAAATTTTAAAAGTAAGCATTTAACAAATAAAAATTATTAAAATGAAAACAGAATGTTAAGCTTGGATAATGAGTTTTCAGAAGTACCATAACTATATTAAGTTAGTTGCCACAAGAAATAGAAAGGCAGAAATTACCAGGAAAACAATGCAACATGGAGCAGAACCATAAACTTGAAGCTAGTATCAGTCTTGTATTGCTTGTAATGCAGCATTAGCATCCTGCACCCTTTCAAAAAGGCAACAAGCTGGTCTGACTTCTTTTTGAGGAGAAGAAAATAAATGTTGCCTAGCAACCCTTTTTCTCCTTTAGCTTCTGTTCAAAATCTGCTTTATTTGCACAAAAGCCTGGGAGTAGGAATCTGATATAACAAAATTGTAAAGCTATATGAGGTAAATACTGAGAGCTCCTTCAAAATCCAGTATGATGTCAATGTGTACTTTTTAACAAGTTATGTACTTGATAGCCTATGAATAATAGCTTCTAAAAATGTCACTAAACCGTACTAATTTGGCTGTAAATTAGTGTGAAATACAGGTAGTCCTTGACTTACAACAATTCATTTAGTGACCATTTGAAGTTACAACAGCACTGAAAAAAGTGACTTATAGTCATTTTTCACAGTTACAGATATATATTCTGCCATTTATATACTCCTATAATCTACATGGACTTCTAGTGGTTTATAACAATAAAACAATATTAAAAGATAACAATACTATAAAAATACATAAATATTCCTTGTCCTTAAGATGCTTTCTGGAAAGCCTCTATTTTTATTCACCCTGCAAGTCCTGTGCCATTAGGGTGGGCACTGTTTTGACTTCAGGGGAGAGGTTCTTCCATAAGAGAGGGCTGCAACAGAAAAAAAGTTAGACCCATTGCAATGGGCAAGTAAAAATCTAATATAAATGAATGAGGAACTTGGTTGCTCTACTAGCTTTTTTATTTACAAAAATGTTTACTGAGAAATTCTTCTTTTTTTTAGGACACCCACTTCTTACCCAAAGATTTGTATCAAGTTGTCATTTGTACTCTGATGTAATTTACACATATTTCTTCTTTTCTATGAGCTCAGAGAATTTCAAAAGCATCACTGTTCTCCAGGTAGTAAAAACTGGTCATAGAAGGACAAGTACAGTAAACATATGCTATTGGAGTTCAAATAGAATCCATCTTTATGTTAATTTCATAATGTCTTACAGGCACAATGTTCAGTTTTAATGTTGTTTTATATTCTTTAAGTTATATACTGTAAATATATTCTTGTAAACCAGCTAGGCTTGTGACTAATAGCTTCAATTCCATTTAGTTAAGTTTGGCTAATTAGTTTGAGTAGCGTAGAAGCTTGTGTTCTGCCATTTAATGCTTTAGATGAGGGAATAGATGGGATGGAATGTAATTATTTTGATGAGGTAACAGAAGGGAATTCGTCAGATTTGCAGATGATATGAAGCCGGGTGTGTGTGCCAGCACCTTAGAAGATAGACTCAATATTCAGAAGGATCTTGATAGATTTGAACATTGGGCTCTATTCAACAAAAAGCTGTTCAAGTGGTGAGAAAAGTAAGGTTTTATAGTCAAGAAAAAACAAATGCACTGTATAGAATAGGTGGTACCTGGCTCAACAGCAGTAACTGTGAAAGGAATCTAGGAATCCTAGGTCCAACCTAGCGGACCAAGTATGAGCCAGTGAAACAATCCAGTTTTAGACTGCATCAACAGGAATTGTATCAAGACCATGTGAAGCGTAAGTACCACCTTATAATGGCTTGGTAAGACCACACCTGGAATATTGCATCCAGTTTTGATTGCCTCTATACAAACCAGATGTTGACTTTCTAGAAATAGTGCAGATAACAGCAACAGAAATGATTATGGAGGCTGGGGGCTAAAAATATGATGATTGCCGGAACTGGTATGTGTTGTCTAACAAAGAGAAAGACTAGGGTTGATATGATAGCAGTCTTCCAATATTTGAGGAGCTGTCAGAGTAGAGGGGATCAACCTATTTTCCAAAGTGCCTGAGGACAGGACAAGAAGAAATGAATGGAAGGTTATCAAGGATAGATCTAACCTAGAATCAAGAAGTAATTTCCTAATAGTAAGAATAACAAGTAAATGGAATGGCTTGCCTCCAGAAGTTGTAGGTGCTCCATCGCTGAGGATTTTAAAGAAGAGATAGAAAAGCCATTTGTCCAGAATGATATACAGTGTCTTGTTTGAACTAGGGGTTGGACTAGAAAACCTCCAAGACGGGGGTGGGATTCTACAGGTTCACACCTATTTGCTAGAACTGGTTGTTAACATTCTAAGCAGTTCAGAGAACCAGTTGTTAGAAGAAATTACTGGCCTAATCCTGTAAGGAAGGCAGGAAGGAAACATTTTGGTGTTGCTTACAGAAACTGCCTCTCCGTTGACCTTTATTACATTCTTGGCAGGACTAGACTTCCTGTCTCTGGACGTCTCTGGAGTTTTTTCCCCCCTTCTTTGCTGGTACTTTGCTTGTATGGAGTGACCATTCAAAGTTACAATGGCACTGAAAAAAAGTGACTTATGACCATTTTTCACACTTACGACTGTTGCAGCATCCCCGCAGTCTTGAGGCCAGGCAAGGAGATGCGTGCCTCGATGTGAGTGATATTGAGTTGGCCATGCCTAGCCAATAACATGACCACCAAGCCACGCCCAAAGAGCCGGTTGTTAAAAAAGTTGAATCCCACCCTTGCTCCAAGGTCACTTCCAACTCTTATTATTCTACGCTGCTTTATTCCGGGTGCCTTTGGAAATAAAGGATTGAGAAATACCGTTGTGAAGTCTGTGACATATTGAATTTTTGTTAACCCTTTTATTATATACAAAAGAGATTGATGCAAACTTTCCTTTTCCAAAGAAAATAGGGTCGTTCAGCCATTAGATATATTGCGGACAATATTACATTTCTTCCATTCCCCTGGTCTCCAAAAATTATCGCTCTCATTCACTCAAAGAAAAGTGAGGAAATGAGATTTCGAATTAACGTTAAAAACATTTGAGAGGTAAGCGGCGGTAACTACAGAAAACTCCCGAGGGAAGACATGACGCATCTCTCCCTCAAGCCTCCGAGGAGCACGTGAGTCGAAGCCTCAAGCCAAGCGTACGCCGATCCCTTAGCAACCGCATCCAAAGGGAAGCCCCGCTCTAACCATAGAGTTTAGAATGCTCCGCAGGAAGTCGACGGAGGGGAAGTCCCTGCTTTTGCCGTCCTGCCGTCCTGCGACCTCTCTCCTCTTCGCCTCCACTTTTTGTCTCCTCCAATCGCCAGCCGAGATGGGCGGATCCAGTCGCTCGCGCTCTCCTTGCTGCGCCCCAACTCCCCCCCCCCACACCTCCGCCTCGGTACGCGCAAAAGTGACGTCAGGTGGGGCTTAATGTGTATGTGCGGCTGGCGACCTCTTGCGCAACGACGCGACGTTCTTGCTTTTGCCGTGAGGAGGCAGTGGCTGGCGGGAAGGAGGAAGAGGAGGAGAAGGAAAAAAAAAAAAGGAAAGGGTTGGTGGCGGCGCTTGGAGCCGCGGGATGGAGGATCAGCCGCCGCCGCCGCCGTCACCGCCCCTCCAGGAGCTGCTGGGGCGTTGCCTCCCCCGACTCCCTCAGCCGGTAAGTGGGCGCAAGCGGCTTCTCTTTGAGACACCGGTGCCGGGCAGCCGCTCCCGGCCACTTGCTCCGTCCCCTCCCCTTTTCCCTTGCTTGGCCTGGTGGGTCTTTCTGCCGAGTACCTGCTTTCCGTGAGGTTCTGCCTGCGCTTACCCCACCTCCCTTTTTATCCTCACCCCCCACCCACCCCAATTCCCGGGTTTGGGATCCGGCCTCAGCCGGGAGCAGCTTTTCCGCAGACGCGCTTTGTCCCGCTCGCCAAGCAGCTCTGTGCAAGGAGGAAGAAATCGCGGGGAGATTTGGACTTGGGTGGGTTTTGCGGGCTGCCAATACCTTCGGAACCGCGCACCGGCGTGGGGTTTCTTTTTTGGGGGTGGGTGTGTGGGTAGAGGCGTTTCAAAAGGGCTCGGGGACTGGATGGGGTCCTTCTCCCGGCTTCGCATTTGTTCCGTTCGCAGCGTGGGAAACAATGGCAAATGTCAACAAACGAGGCGAGAGAGCAAGACTCGAAGCTTTTTGCCAGCAAAACGGTCCGTTTTAGGAAATGGACTCTCGACGGTGCCTGTGGTTTTTGGCTGCCGGTTTAATTTTGTGCCGCGTTTGTTTTGCCAGGAGGAGGAGGAGGAGGAGGAGGTCGTCTTCCGAGTGGAGTTAGCTTAGCTTTGTTTGTGGGCGTATTTGCGGTTGCGTGCAGCATCCTTAATTTGGTACCAACTTATATCCGACTTCGTTAGGTATGCGGGTTGAGCTGGTCTTTAATTTTTTCCTCTGTGTTACCAAATAAAATTTCTTTTTAATAAAATTAACCTCTGGATAAGAACGCCAGTTCTTTCTTTCTGATTGTTTATTTCCCCCCCTCCCCCCAAAAAAGCTCTGCTGCCCTGTTTTTAAAATATAAAAATAGGTGCAGGTTTTTAAATAGCACCTTAAAGAAATAGCAATACTATACAATAACATGCCAATATAATCTGAAAATATGGAAACATGGCAATATAATGTGAAAATAAGACTGCTTTAAAAATGTTATAGAAACTAAATCTAGGAAATGCTGGTTCTGCATACATATATTTGGCCCTGATCTGCAAAAGTTGTTATCCAATACAGCTATGGGACAGAATGCAAAAGTTTTAAAATGTATGACCGAAGAGTAATATTGGTATTGTATTTTTATTATAGCCAATCAAATTTCTTAATATTACTTTTTGTCCTTGTTCCATCCACTATTTTTGGAAAGTGGTCTCTGACATGTAATTAAAAGATCAGGTGTGGCCCTCTGACTAGTTAGGATGCCTAGTGCATCCTAACCATTATCTAATTTAAAAATTACTAAGAGTCTGGTGGGCATAAACAAATGAAGTATTTTATAGGCATAGTTTTATTAAAATTGTAACTTGTATTTTTCCTAAGTTGGCAGAATAGTCAGTTTTAAGAACTTTAAATTCTTTATTGTGATAGAATCTTCATTAGTTTTTTAAAAATCCAATTTTGGAAAGCATACAAACATGAACAAACCAAGGAACATTAATTTTTCAAAATATTGAAAAGTTAAACCCCCCCATTGACTATGACTGTTTTGGAAAGACTTGTAACATTTATCTCTTAGTTACATCAGGAATCAGTGTGCCATAGTTGAAGGAAATAAAATATTTTTGTGTGTGTGTATTGCTATTTTGTATAGGTAAAGTCCCCTCGTAGCCTCCCTATGGGAAGTGTTAGTCATCTTTTTGTACTTCCCGAAATAAAAAGGCATTGCATCACTTCATCATGACTTACATGGATTCAACTCTTCTAGTACTTCATATAGTGGAAACTCTGAGAACTTGATCCTGCCAAAGGTGCATGAATTGTTCTTTGAGGAAGAACTTTTAAAATCACGATTATTAATTTACTATAGATTGCATTCATGTCAAGTTTATCTCTTTCTTCCTGTGGTATTGTTCTAGTTAGGACATTTCCCTCATTACACCATATTTAATTTTAGAACTAAAGCACATAAAATATGAAACACATATTTTAATTTGTTGCCTCAACATGTGGTGAATTAAATCAATGGTTACATATTACTATTATAATTACATTTTATATATTTTATTATAATTATATAAGCTCCATGTTCTGATGAGTATGACAACTACTAATGTGCTGTGCATGGAGTAGTAAAGGAAGTAACGATTACTTTTATAATATGTGCATAGGTTTTGGATGAGATGCTGTACTAATTATGTGAATCTTTGATCTGATTCAGTAGTGTTACTATTATTAGAGGCTTACTCCTATGTTTCAGAAAAAATGTATATTAGCTTTTGAAGCATGAATAATACTGTATGTATTATAGCTATGAAGAGATACAAATTAAATGAGAAGAATTTGCTTTTGAGCACATGTAGATTTGTATCTGTCAGGAATCTCTTCAAATAAAGTTAAATTTACTGAGCTGTGGTTGATGACTAGCAAGTAGGAATATCTTACAACTTATAAATGATGTATTTGGTTGAAGTTGTTGCTGACAGATGCTCATTGTATTCCCATGCATGCTCCAAACTATACATTGAACTGAGCACATTAGTATGTGTGTCTGTAGTTTAACCAGAATTTCTAACTTCCCCAATATATTTCCCATAGACATTTTAAAAAGGAACTTGATAGGTCAGTTACATAAGGTCTATTGATGCTTCTCAATTAATAGTAAAGAGGAAGGGTCTAAAAGACAGATAAGATTTATATATTCTATATATATATTTCTAATTCAAATTTTGTGTTTCTCTGATAGAGCAGCAACTAGAATAATAAAAAGAAATGGCATAGAAATATTATGAGACAATTTATTCCTTCATATAATGTTAAATCTTGCTAACATGCAGTTACTTTTAAACACAGCTAATTATTTGGAATATACTTACATTGCAATTCTGTTGTTATATGCAAAGTAGCTTATTAGAAATGCATATCTAAAAGTTGATGGCCAGTTTGGTGTAGTGGTTAAGGTGTCAGATTAGAAACCTGAGAGAGTGTGAGTTCTAATCTCATATAAGGTACAAAGGCGGCTGGGAGACTTTGGGCCACTTATTCTCCCTCAGCCCTAGGAAAGAAGTAATTTCTGAAAAAAAACCTTGTAAGAAAATTTCAGGGACTTTTCCAGGATTAATTATGCTGATATGAATAATATTAACCACATTATTTACTGATATTGTATACTGACTTAACTTCATAGATGTTACAAATATTTCTATTTTGAGGCCCACATAAAAGAGGTTAATGTTTGGAACAAGGGAGATCTGCAGTTTAAATTTCTTTTATCTCTTTCCAGCAAATGGTATTTAAAGTATGCTGCCTGAGATAGCAAAGAACCATGATTATTAGTAGTTACTGATAACCAGATTCGCCATGAATTTATGTTAAAATCATCTATATTGGTAATTATCAGTATACTGAATGTTAGGAAATACCACAACCATGTTATAAAAAGGCTTATTGAATCTCCCAATATTTATTTTTATCAGATGGCCCTGCACTCAAATACCATGAAGGGAGGGAAAAAAACTTCTTTTTATTCTCATCTTAAAAAAAATATTAATCAAATTTATATGGCCACCCATCTAACCAGTGGAACTCTGGGCAATGCACAAATATAAAAAATATATCTAATTAGAAGAAAAAATACACACATCAGAACTGTGTAAAAAATCTGATTTTCCACATCTCATGTTCTCCTGTTAACAATCCTGGTCCAAGTGTAAGTTTAGGCTTTTACATAATACCTCTTACTAAGCCGGATAAGGTATGGACCCACCTACTTTAGTTACACCTATATTACAGAGCATTTCCTGCTAATGGCAAGGACATAATATCAGACAGTTTGGGCATAATACATTATGAATGAATAATATAATTTAATCTAAAATGAATTTTGACATTTTGAGAACAACTGGATGTCTAGGGACAGTAGAAAAGGTTTGTAGAAGCAGCAACTGGTCAAATATTTTAACCAGTGCTTGAGATAAACATATTATTCAGCTTTGAATGTTGTACTTTTATACAATTTTGCTAATACAGAGCTGGATAATTATGATCACAAGAGTCATTTGTCTCTATTAGCTCTTAATAACTCTCTACTGTCTGTATGTGATCTGAAAATAGAATGGTTAAATATTAGAACACACTTTCCCAAACTGAGATGTACTTCCCTCTGTGAGATGCAATCAGAGTCCAAGGAAAGTGGGAAAAACCTTTTGGTTACATTGTTACAATAAATGTACCTTTTCCAGATTTGTGTTGTATTGCTTTCGTTTATATTCATTTTGTTTTGGATTTTTAGAGTGGCTGTGTACATTAAAATTACACTAAAATAAGTGTGATGGTAAAAAGTTTAGGAACCCTTGGATTAGAACATTTTCAGGATTACACAAGGTGAACAATGTAGTAGACCATATGATAGACTTTTATGAGAATGTAAAAAGAATAGAATAATTGTTTTGTATGTATTAACAGTTGCAATTAGCAATTAGAGCAATATCCTTCCAGGGAGTCACTTACATTTTCATTGTATCTATTTCCCTTTTCCCTTCTTTCAAATCCTATCTATTCTTTTGTGCCTTCAATTTTTTTTCTGCCTTGAAATAAACTTATTTCCAGCCAACAATAATGGAGTGATTGTGATGTGATCATAATCTGGCAGCTAAAAGCAAAATGTTTTTGTAAAATTATCAATTCCAAGTTAATTGATCTTTGGGACCTTTAACGCAAATGGTTTGAGTCAGCTAGGATTTGTGCTAGTAACATAGATACATGCCTCAAATTAGTTTTATTCATATATGCTTAATAAATTTGGGTTTATTTATATCCTTCATATCTCTAAGACAATTTGATATCCATATCTTGGTATCTTTATTTTTTATATTACTGATTTTGTCTTTTGTCCCTATAACATTCTGTCTGTCTATGAATAAATTTCAATACATATTTAAATAATAACATTATTCATCTTGGAGCTCAAAATGGCATTTGGAAGCAGATGTTAGTAGCAACAGCTGCCAGTAAACACACTGTTGAACAGAGCTATCAAGTATTACCTTCTGGAATTTTACATTTTTTAAAAATACCATAGCCTGTCCATTATGACTTGTTTCCCTTACAACTGTTTCTTTTCCATTAAAAAAGATAGCTTGTTTGGACTGGATTGTTCAATAGTAATAATATGGAAACATATTTATCTTTAATTGCATAGTGTGTTTTAAACTTTTGTAAGCCACAGGTAAATGAGCAGTATTAATTATTCATTACCTTTTTGAAGCATATTTTTGGTATTGTACATTCCCTCAGGCTTCTGAATCTGTTTTTCAATTAGCAGATTCTCAGATTTCCCCCCAGATTTCTATTGCTTCCAATGAAATAACAACTAGATAATAAGTAACACAGATATTGACCAAATAATGTTCACTGGATTTATCTATATTAAGATGTATGTAAACATATACATTACTAAGTAAATTTCATTTGATGCTTCTCAGTAGTATCAGTTTTGTTGCAATATTCTAGAGTAAAATTTCATTTTTACTTATAAAGCTATAATTATTAGACAGTTTTTATTAATATTTGAGTGAGTATTCAAACTGTTTCACATGTCATTACTGTAATGTACCTGTATAAAGTAGATTAATAGTATCATCTTAAATCAGGCTGTCTAAATGAGTTGCTCATACACTTTTCTAGGAACTGTGTGCCCCACAAACTTGTATAGGAGAAATGTGAGTTAAAAATATAGTCTGTCAAGATATTTTATATACTGTATTATTGAATAATTATATATTATATTTAAATGTCTAATAATGTAGAATTACTATTAATATTTTGATAAATCAATAGTAAATCTCATAATGGTCAACTCAGTAAACACATCTGTAAAATACATCACATTATTGAATAAAATTTTGTTGGACTATTCTTTGGCAGGAGTAAATGTTTAATCAAATCCCTGATGTTTTTAGCAGAAATGTGGGGAATTTAAATATCCAGGTATGTCTTCCTACCTTGTTGTGTACCTCAGAATATTTTAAACTGTGAGAGAACATATCAGTAACACTGTTATAATGTCTTGTTCTAGTAGCCTCTTTATAATGAAAAGTATGGTTCTGATCATACAAAAGGTTGTGTATCCTTTTTTTCCACCAAAATATAACAGCTTAATGAATTCTGAGAACAACCTAGACCAATATCAACATGTTTGTTTTACTTACAGTTTTTTTTTCAAAATTGAATTCTTTTCATATTGCTACAAAATGATAATAGTAAGCTATTGAAATAATTTTATTTTTAAAATTGGATAGCTTAAAACATAAATAGATCTATTCATTTTGGTTGTGGTGCTGTAAGTTACAAAGGAAACCTCTTCTTGAACAAATGCATTTGGAAAATTCAGCTTGGAGAAGCTGCATCTTTCACCATTTCTGGCAGTTCATTTCAAGATTGTTTGGCTGCAGGGACAAAATACAGCATTGTGAAGGAAGCTCGCATTCAGCAAAACCAAAAATTGCAGATGGCAGCAGGTACATAGGCATCATTGTATTTTCTGTTCTTTGCTATCCTGAGGTCAGCTAGAACTTTAAACTTAGCACAATGTATGCTTTGAGGGCATTCTATAAATCACATTATTCTGATATGGAGAGTTTTGTTCTAATATATATTTTTTTCATTCCCAAGCTGCTGTTTGAAGAGGAGCCCCATCAGCTATTCATGCTTAAGGATAAGTGGTGGAGGTAAGAAATCACTTCCTAATTTATAGTTAAGATAACAGATATTTTGTATTATTAGTTCATATGAAATTTTTATATACAGAACTTGAAAAATATTGAATTTGAGAAGGCAGATCAGCAGATGGAAAGATATACAGGCATGTGAGAATTTTGATGAGTGCACAGGAAGGCATTTTTTAAAGCAAGCTCTAGTATTGACTTAGTTTGTTGGCTAAAATGTAGTGCATTTCTTCCAGCATGTGTTGCATAAAGAGATCTGGTCTCAAAAGCATTCTTAATTGTTATATTAATCAGCAAATCTGATCTCTTTCTTGGCAAGTTAGAATTATATAATGTTCAAAAAACTGAACATTTTTCCTGTTACCAGCTGAGTTGAGCACTATTAACCTTTTTTACAAAAGTAGTGAAACATTTTGCTATACTCAAAAGGAAGTAGTAAGCTTGCTTAAAAAATATAAAATGGCATTTTGAAGAATGCTGAAAAGATGTAATTAGCTATAAATATGTATGATTTTCATGCTATCTAATGATTAAATGTTACCATGTAATAGTTCTTGAGTCAGTGATGAGCAAAAGATGCAAATAAATATCTGCTAGCAATCCTTATGTACTTGAAAGACTAGACCTACAAGTGTTGGCCTTTCTAGGAGTTTGGAAGTTGTAGGTCAGGGGTGTCAAGCTCACGTCATCATGGAGGCATCACATGAAGTATTGGGACTATTTTCCCTTCGCTAAACCATGCGTGGACATGGCCAGCATACAGCCTGCGGGCCGCGTGTTTAACAGCTTTGTTGTAGGTGTTATAATGGGTGTAAAAAGCATCTGATATTTAAATCACTTCCATTCCCACTGTTAAACAACTCTCTCCTGAAATAAAAAAACATTATTGAAATTCAGTTACTCTTGTCACAAAATTTTCACTGTGTTGCTTTGTAGATGGATGGGGATAGATTTAACTATGGAAATGAGTCTATTCCCATTTTTACAATTTGAAAACCAGTCAATTATCAGGCTATTTTGCTGCTTTATTTCAGCAGTTCAGTATTCAGCTATTTATAGATATTTGGGAAATGAAGATTGCATATTTCTGATCTAATAAATCTGACTAAGACGTCAGTACAAAGTGACAAACTCATATTGAATGCACATAGCATTTATAGCTGATGGTAGATAAATATTAGAATTTAGTACTGTAACAATCATGTTACTCACCTATAAACATCTTAATGATTCTGCAGCACATTCAAATATAATTGGTTTTGAGTAAAGCATAAAAGATATACTTTTTCTGAGCATATAATCACTGTGTAATAAACTACAAAATTTAACAGAGGAATTAGTTTGATTAATTGCAAAAAGAGTGAATGGCTGTGTAGCAACTTGCACTGTTCTATTTGCAAATGCAGAAAGGTATAAATTATTTAACCAGTGGAGTCTTCTTAATCTCTAGATCAGTGTTTCTCAGATATGGCAACTTTCTGGTATGTGGGTCTCATCTTTCAAAATTTTCATCACTGACCAAGTTGAGAATGGAATTCTGGGATTTGTAGTCCATCTATGTAGGAATTGCCATAGCTGAAAAACAGTTCTCTTGATAAACTCTGCTTTGCATCTTTTATTAAACTTGTGCTCTTTAGAGGTTTTCAGATTTCACTTGTACTAAATATTTTGACAGATTATTTTTCTGAATTTGGATTAATGTTGGAAACTATAGCTCTGCTTTGCATGCTTTATGATGTTTTTGCATCTTAATAATCCTACAAATTTTATGTATATGGCTCTTTTAACCACAAATCAAAATATCTCCATAATTGTTCTTCACATTGTTCTTACTCCTTTATGGGTTTCAGGGTTCATGAGGGGGATACTAATGGTATCTAACTTGAGGATTTGTGTGTCTAGATATATTTTAAAAAAAATTAAAACAGATCATTTCAATCTTTGTAAATGAATTAGCTGCAAATGATATCAAACAGCCAGTTTGGCTATCATAATCACATGCTCTGTTAGATGTTTTCTCCATTATATATACATCATATTTATGGATATAGCTTAAAGCTCAATTTTGTCAAGATTTAAAACTTTATACAAAATGTTTTATCACTTTATAAAGTTTTTTTTTGCTTATGATCCAGATTAAACTAAATGTGTGGATCTTTATGTAGTTTTCACTGCTTCCAGTAAGTTTCCTTTCTAGCAGTTTTGCTTCAGCGCTGCCTGGCTCTTTTTTCTAGTTATACTGTTTGCCTGTTTCTCCTGCCTGAAATTCTCGAGGAATAAATTTGTTCCTAAAACTCTAAACTAGATCCACATGTACTTCCATTTTGGCTTAGCAGTAAACTTGTCCTCATAAACTTGCTAATTTTGCTTACAAGTATGGCTAATTTGGTATGGCTAACTTGGTTATCTAAATTGATAACACAACAAAATTATTAAATAAATGTACAAAAACAGAATTCTGGTTTCATCTACCTGAAGACATCATTAACAACAAACAATTACTTCATATTCTTGTGTTTGCTGGATGGATAAGGCCACAGACCTCTACTCACATTCACAGTAAGAGTTTATCCCAAACAGTTGCTTTAATAGGCTTTTCTTCAGTCTATGAAGTGGCACAAAAACATGCAAGCATAATTTGATGTCTCTTGTCAGACTTGGTAATGAAGCCACTGAGTGCTACTGTCTTTACATCTTCATTGGAAATTTAAGGACAATTTAAGGAAAGCAATTAAAGGATTTCCTATTTTCATAACATGGGGGAGGCTGGAGCTAAGAGAGGAGGCATGTTTTGACCCCTGTGCATAGCTATGTGTCAGAACCTGATATTTGAATTAGAAACAGATTCCCAGTAAAACAGGAGATAGAACTACCTTACAGATTATCCGCAAAGTCTGATCCATGGCCGTAAGGTGATGGAAGCTGTAGTGAAAGCAGGATCCAGCTTTTTTGGGTGAGTTATTACACTTCAAGCAGTAGTGTTGCTTCATTTCTCTTCTCTTCTTTTCTACCCCCTAGTCGTCATGACACTCCAAGCTTGGGATCAGGAAAACTAGTACTCTTCAATATCTTCATTAACGATTTAGATGAGGGAATAGAAGGGGAACTTACCAAATTTGCAGATGATACTAAGCGGGCAGGAATAGCTAACACCCAAGAAGATAGGCTCAAGATCCAGATGGATCTTGACAGACTAGAACACTGGGCCATATCTAACAAAATGAAATTCAATGTAGAGAAAAATAAAGTCCTACACTCAGGCAAGAAAAATCAAAAGTACACATATAGGCTGGGTGAAACCAGGCTCAGTAGCAGTAACTGTGAGAGGGACCTTGGAGTCTTAGTGGACAACCAGCTAAATATGAGCCAGCAGTGTGCAACAGCAGCCAAAAAAGCTAATGCAATCCTAAATTGTATTAACAGAGGGGTACAATCAAGATCAAGGGAGGTACTAATACCACTCTATAAAGCCTTAGTAAGGCCACACCTAGAGTAGTGCATCCAGTTTTGGTCACCACACTATAAAAATAATGTTGAGAGACTAGAAAAAGTACAGAGAAGAGCAACCAGGATGATTGGGGACTGGAGACTAAAACATATGAAGAACGGTTACAGGAACTGGGCATGGCTATAGTGAAGAGAAGGACCAAGGGAGACATGATAGCAGTATTCCAATATTTGAGAAGTTGCCACAGAGAGGAAAGGGTCAAGCTATTTTCTAAAGCACCTGTAGACCAGACAAGGAATAATGGATGGAAACTGAACAAGGAGAGATTTAACCTGGAACTAAGGAGAAACTTTCGTACAGGGAGAACAATCAACCAATGGAACAGCTTGCCTTCGGAAGTTGTGGGAGCGTCATCAGTTGAGACCTTCAAGAAGAGATTGGACTGCCATTTGTCAGAAATGGTGTACGGTCTCTCGCTTGGGCAGGGGGTTGGACTAGATGACCTACAAAGTCCCTTCCAACTCTGATTATCTGTTAATCTGTTAAAAGATGGCCAGAAAAATGCTGCTTCTCCCATTTTCTTGTAATTGTAAAGAGAAGGGCTTCAACCATGCATGGCAGAATGTCACTGGATGAAGCAGGATGGAGTGTTCTGCCATACAAACTGCCTAACAGTTGGGTCACTTGCGTATATCTACCAGTCTTGCATGAAGCATTTACAGGTGAAACTCGAAAAATTAGAATATCATGTAAAAGTTCATTTATTTCAGTAATGCAACTTAAAAGGTGAAACTAATATATGAGATAGACTCATTACATGCAAAGCAAGATAGTTCAAGCCGTGATTTGTGATACTTGTGATGATTATGGCTTACAGCTCATGAAAACTCCAAATCCATAATCTCAGAAAATTAAAATATTACATGCAATCAATAAAACAAGGATTGTACATCGAACAATATCGGACCTCTGAAAAGTGTAAGCATGCATATGTACTCAGTACTTGGTTTGGGCCCCTTTTGCAGCAATTACTGCTTCAATGCAGCGTGGCGTAGAAGCTATCAGCCTGTGGCACTGCTGAGGTGTTATGGAAGACCAGGATGCTTCAGTAGTGGCCTTCAGCTCTTTTTCATTGTTGGGTCTCATGTCTCTCATCTTTCTCTTGGCAATGCCCCATAGATTCTCTATGGGGTTCAGGTCAGGCGAGTTTGCTGGCCAATCAAGCACAGTAATCTCACGGTCATTGAACCAGGTTTTGGTGCTTTTGGCAGTGTGGCAGGTGCCAAGTCCTGCTGGAAAATGAAGTCAGCATCCCCATAAAGCTCATCTGCAGAAGGAAGCATGAAGTGCTCCAAAATCTCCTGGTAGATGGCTGCATTGACCCTGGACTTAATGAAGCACAGTGGACCAACACCAGCAGATGACATGGCTCCCCAAATCAACACAGACTGTGGAAACTTCACACTGGACTTCAAGCATCTTGCAGTGTGTGCCTCTCCATTCTTCCTCCAGACTCTGGGTCCTTGGTTTCCAAATGAGATACAAAAGTTTCTCTCATCAGAAAAGAGGACTTTGGACCACTGAGCAACAGACCAGGTCTGTTTTTTCTTTAGCCTAGGTAAGACGCTTCTTATGTTGTTTGTTGTTTAGGAGCAGCTTGACAAGAGGAAGCCCATGTCCAGGATCCGTCTGTGTGTGGTGGCTCTTGATGCACTGACTCCAGCCTCAGTCCACTCCTTGTGAAAGTCCCCAACACTTTTGAATGGCCTTTTCCTGACAATCCTCTCCAGGCTGTGGTCATCCCTGCTACTTGTGCACCTTTTTCTTCCACACTTTTCTCTTCTATATAATTTTCTATTAATGTGCTTTGACACAGCACTTTGGGAACATCCAACTTCTTTTGCAATTACCTTTTGAGGCTTTCCCTTCTTATGGAGGGTGTCAGTGATGGTTTTCTGCACAACTTTGAGGTCAGCAGTCTTTCCCATGATTGTGATTTCTACTGAACCAGACTGAGAGACCATTCAAAGGCTCAGGAACCCTTTGCAGGTATTATGGCTTAATTAGTTGATTAGATTGGGACACTTTGAACCTAGAATATTGAACCTTTTCACAATATTTTAATTTTCTGAGATTGTGGATTTGGGGTTTCATGAGCTGTAAGCCATAATCATCTCAATTATGACACATCACAGCTTGAACTATCTTGCTTTGCATGTAATGAGTCTATCTCATATATTAGGTTCACCTTTTAAGTTGCATTACTGAAATAAATGAACTTTTGCATGATATTCTAATTTATCGAGTTTCACCTGTACATGATAAATACAGAACCAGCCTAATGTTTGATCAGTGTTTTGCAAAGTGCCAGGTACTCTTAGGTATGCATGATCTGTCCTGTTGCCAAAATGAAAATGGTGAGAAAAGTCACCATTGTCTAGAAGAATGGAACTTGCTTACATTTGTCAAATATGACAAGAGTTGGGCAGATCCCAGCCTCTGCTGATCATTACTGCAGTAGCCACCAAAGTAGCATAAACCATGCATACAGCAAGGCTTGTGTTGGGAAATGATGGAAAACCCCATTATTACATAGGATCAGTTAAATACTAAGTGAGACAGCCTCATCTATGGGATGTGAATGAAACAAATGCTGTATCATGAGAACACGTCCTTAAATTGGAATGGTTTATAGATGAGCTTTAAGCATAATTGATTAGGCCACAAATTGTTCACTAACCATATCAACTTGTAGGTGGAGCCAGTGAATGTGAACAAGAACAATTTATTGCTTACCCATCCTATTGTATTAGACAGTGTAGCTGTACTAAGGTATACCATATGAGAGATGTAGAAGCCTGAGATAAGGAAAAAACAAAGAAATTTGGGAGAAAATGTTTGCCCTTTTTTCTATTTTCATATTTCCCTCAAGACATTTTATTATTTTTTCCCCAAAAATCCTAAGCAGGCAGATATAAATTTAAAGAATAAGTATATATTCCTTGTATTTCCTTTTTCAGTAATGTTTTACATGATTAACATGTGAAATACATTATACTAGAAATATAAACACCTTATATATGAGTCAGAAACAACTTGATGGCAGATAATCTTTGAAATGGTAGCAAAATCTTTGCAATGAATTTGCAAAATCCACGAAAAAGTAAAAATTATAAGTAGAAGCTGCTAATACTTATGGTACTTCAGATTCTAAAAACAAATCTGTTAAATGTAAGTGTTTTGAGCCTTGTTTCTCACTATATAGCTTTGTTTCCTTTATTTTTATGCGGTGGTTTTGGCTTTATTTTTTTAATTATAATTTTTCTCAGCATTAATTGCTTGCCTTTCTGCCTGCTTCTCCTAATCAAAATGAAGATGTGCTATATTAATTGTAGCATCATTTCTTACAATAAGTAAAAATAAAATAAATTTAATCAATGCATTTTAATTATTTTAATTTTTTTGAGATTCACACTATGAACATATTTACAAACAAAATATGTATAATATTTTTAAGACACTAATGGTAGATTTTGTATATATTTCAGTTTGTTCAATGTTTGTGTTTTACCAAAACATGGGAAAACATTTTTTTACTGATATGTTTACATTTTTGGCAATAAAATACTACTAGATATTTGCTATATTATGAGATAAAATTCACAGATTCATATCATTTTAGCTTTTTTCCTGCTTCCAGCATAGCATGGCTTATAGTTTTCAGTTCTTTCTTTGGACATTTTTCCAAATAAAAAACAAACTATTCATAAGTTGTATGTTCTGCCCTCAATAGATAATGCATTTAAATCTCCATGGTAAAAAGATGCTTCAATAAGGTATTTTAGAATTTGACGGAATTGTGAACTAATTGTATGTTTTCACATGGATATATATTAATCCATGCATGATGGATAACTTCAGGTTTTTCTTTAACATTAGATAAGCATGAGACCAGCGTGGCACAGCTGTATGTATATGCACAATTGAAGCAATTGCACACTTTATTGGCTGACAATCTTGGCATTTTTTAGCAAAAGACAAAATTTAAAGACCCAACACATTTATGTTTGACTTGTCAAATAAACTTGCGTTGTCACCTGATGGAGCCTTCTAGTGGTGAACAACTCTATGACGACCCTGATGTTGGAAACAAAACTCAAGATCCAGAAAACAAAAGGCAGCATGAATCTGAACAAAAGCTGTCAAAAATTACCCACAATGCCTTGGAGAACATTAATGTAATTGGTCAAGGTTTGAAGCACCTCTTCCAGCATCAGCGTAGGAGGTCGTCAGTATCTCCGCATGATGTTCAACAAACTCAGGTTGATATGGAACCTGAAACAGAATTGGAAAATCAAAACACCTGTGCCGAAATTGATGGTATCTCTACCCACTCTACAGCTCTGAATAGAGTTCTCCAACAAATCAGAGTGCCACCTAAAATGAAGAGAGGAACAAGTCTTCACAGCAGACGGGGCAAGTCAGATCCTCCGAAAGGAAGTCCTCAAATCAACAGGAAGTCTGTCCAAGATATTAATTCAGGTCGTCCCAGATCCTCATCTACTACTGATGCTCCATCCAATTTATCAATTCTGGAGATGGCCTCTCCTATCTGCTTAGCTGGTGACGATGTCGGATCAGCAGATCGGGTGAGTATAGAAAATTATTTTCCTTATATGATATTTTTTTAAGGTATTGAGAAAAAATAGAGGCCTGACCAATTTTTTTTCTTGGCTATCATACTTTAAGGGAGACCAAATAAACTTCATTTTAAATAAAATAATACATTATCAAAACAGCTATGTTTTATTGTATGTCCTAATTTCTTTTTTTGCGTGATTTTCATATATTGTAAGCTGGCTTGAAATCTGGTTTTGAAGGGTAAGCATATACATCTAAATAATAGTACAGCTTGCTGGAGAATGTCAATACTCTTGAGTTGTATTGTTTTTAGAGCTTTTAAAAAAATCTTTGGACAAAGTAGAAGCTTATCATGTAGATTGTTTCAAAAATAATATTAACCCCAAAATTGTTGTTTTTCTTTGGATATCCGTTTAAATTCATAAATATATGGATTTGTGTAAAGTAGCCCAACAATTCTACTATTACATGAAATTGCAATTGTGGAGTTTAATGTGGATCAGTGGATTTCTTAGTGATGAAGCACTCTCTTCAGTTAATGGTTAACAAGCTAAAGGTAATGTCTAATTTGCTATCCTATATTATTATAAATATTCTATCCATGACTTAGAATTTAACCTCATTCTCAAAAATAATATTTAATTTACAGTACTTATATAAATTATGTTTAGAACCCTGACAGAAATATTTCAGACTTGGTCAAAGGAATAAATTATCTTTAATCACTTGTGAATGTGTTGTCGTGGCATTTGAATTGAAGGAATTGGCTATTCTGATTCTGCTGCTGAACCTCTTACTGATATTTGATATCTCTAAATCCAAACCTAAACTAAATCCTGGTCAAGCAAATAATTCTGTTCTTTAGAATATCTACAACAATTTTGAGCATATTCAGAATACATTTTTAAGAGACATGTAGGCACCTATTAACACTAGCGATTAGTGCATCTATAGTAACAAACAATACATCTTTCATTTCACCCTCTCTTCTGCAGAACTTTGAAGCCCAGTGAAATACAATCTAATGAGAAAGACATATTCTGTAATGAACTATCAGTTAAAGTAGACATGGCCACTGCTTTTCCCACTTAAAACCATTAAGTGTAGCTCCATTGTTCAACATGTGTATGTATTATACTTGTCATTTCATAGTTCTAATTGGTATTTGGCAAGTCTTTACTCTTAAGATTGTATCAATTTTATGAATTTTAATCACATTTACAATACTCTATATAGCTATAACATAAAATTAATAATTAGAATTAATTTGAATGTATTTGGCCATTAGGTTTTCCTTTGTCTCTTGCTTTTGACAATAATATGCTGTGTATTCAAATATTCTGGATAATTTGCTTTGCATGAAATTTTTACAAGTGGCTTTTCAAGTTGCAATTTATAGAGAAAGCATGTATCATGAATTCCTGGTTATAAAAGAAAATAGGTGTGAAATTAAAAATATTGACAATTATCTGACCTAAGAAGTTTAAGAACTTCAGTTGCTGTTCATTAAATTAATTCTCTTAAGGCTAAAATTACTCTTGAAGATAAAAATGATTGTATTAGTCATTCATCAAGTACTAACATTTGTTATGCACTCTGTATGAAATAACTACTAAAAATGGATACTTGGAATCTTTTGAGACTCTGATGTTATGTATTGTGGCCAAAGCCTAGTTATCTTTTGAAATATGCTATTATTTTAAAAAAAATTCATGTATTTTCCAGTAATGTGAAAAAATAGGCTGTAAGTCTGGTGTTTGAAATCCTGCAAATTGAAGGGAAAACAAAGGAAGAATTATTTCGGTAGATAAATCTGCCAGTTGTATTCAATCATTATGCATTGCCTTGCCTTTCTGCCTAGTCAGTGTAAAAATTTATTGAAAGGATCTGAGGATTGTGTATTTCTGCTTGAGCATTTTCAGGATATGGTTATTATTTCATTGCCATGTTTGTATCATGTGTATTTCATTCCTCAGGATTAATAGGCTTTCCAGTAAATTATATGTTAAAACACAAGCATTCAGTCTTTGCAATTAATTTGCAAACTGAATGCAGTTTATCCCCCTGTTTAAATTTGGTAATGTCTCTCTTAATTCAGACAGATTAATTCTGACATTTTTGACATCCAGTAGAGCAGTTAGTGTATTTAATGAGTGCCCTATTAAACCAAGCATAGACTATTTTATTACGACAACTGCAAGGGCTTTATATTTATATTGAAACCCCCAGCTGTTTTCTAATCTCAAAATTGCAAATACAGTGTCACGGGCAATAATTTTTCCATTTAAAACCTGGCCAAATGTTCAAATTCTGCTATAGCCATCCAGAAACATTTTGCTTAACACTGAAGGAAGAATGTGCATATATCTTACGTTACCTGAAATGGAAATGAAATTTTATAATTTTACATTTGGTAGGGAGTTGGTGGTCTTGCTGATTTATATTTAATTCACATAAGTAGTTTGCCAATGAAATGTCTTCTGTTCCCCATTTTTTAAATTAAAATCAAGAATAAAAGTAGCATAAAATACTCTGTGAGGCATATAGTTGATAAGTATCATCTTATCTCAATGAGAAGCCAATGTTGATTGAAGTGCTTTTTTTTCTTTATTGTCTTCAGCATTAGGGGTATAGAAAACAGAAACAGAATTCTAGTTTGAATAGTAATTTTAAATGCAGCTAATTTATCTAGCAGTGATAATAAAAAAGGATGCAATTTGTTCAAAAGAACAGAAACAATTGAAAAGTAGGCAGAAATGTTACACATATTTATTCCTTCTCTGAAATCCAGATGAATTATTTGATACAGTTGCTGCAAGAAAGAACAAATAAACAATGTTGTGCTGTCCATTAGCATGTACCTAACCGAATAGATATGGATGGTACCTTTTGAAAGAAAATGGCAGATCTTTAAAAAAAAGGGAAGAAATTTAGCAGTTGAATGCAGTAATTACTTTGATATTTGCTGTGAGACAGATTTGGTCTAGTGCTGTCTACCCAGGAATCCTTGACTTGTATTGCTGACAGCTTTCTCCTTCAAAGGGTGAAGGAAGACACAATATGATTAGTTATATATTTGACTTCATTTAGGGAAGACTTAGTTGAGGTAGCAGGAACATGCAGTTGTGAGGAAATGACCATGTATTGCTGGAGTTAATGATTTTAAGGGAATTCAGAATTGAGTGAGATCAAGTGCCTCCTTTTTTTTTCCAGAAAAAATATACATCAATTAAGCCAGGGCAGAATATGGACAGGGGAACTAGAGAAGGCAACCCAGAAGACACAATTCCAATTAGCAAAAAAAAAAAAAAAAAGAAAGGAAGAAAGAAGAAGACAATATGCGGAAAAAAGCCAATAGTTTTAATTAAAACCAAATCTAATAAAAGGGTTAATAAAGATCTGAAAAGCAAGTAGTTGTAGTTATAGTGGTGGTCGGAGGAAGGGACATAACAGTTACCCAAAATAATAGAGCTGGAATGAAGAAAGCAAAAGCTCAGAAACACCTGAGTTTCAGCAAAGGATGCTAAGGGTATTGAAATGGGCTTCTTTACCTATGTTCAAAAGAAAAGGAAAAGAACCAATATACAAACTGCTTGGTAAAAATAGCAAGATTTTAACATTGAAAAAATTTCTTAAATTCCTAGTTTGATCCATTCTTCTCCAACAAAAGGGATTTGTAATATATCGATACATCCCAATATGTGTTCTTGATTTTTAAGAAGTTTGAAGAAGAAAAAAACCCTCAAAACAGTTTTGTAAAAATTCCCATGAATTATATGAGTAAGGTATGGTCACTTTAACAGAAGGACAGTTGTATGGACAGCATTCTTCTTCTAGAATAAGAATGCTACATATCAGTCTTGAAAATTCTTTCAGTTATGATGACAAAACCCTCAATTTGTAATTCCATGGAGGAATTTTGGTGAGTTTCAATTATGAGAAATTTGCAGGCCACCTTAATTATTAAATGTGTGGGGATTAATTTGGTTGTTCTTTTAAAGGGAATATCAGTTTTCTTAAAGAACTGGAACTCCCCTCTGCACCAAAGCCAGAACTGTTTTGGAATATCATCTCATTATAGATGAATAGTGATGTACCTTAGTTAATTGAGCTATTCATTATATTACACACAATGAAAACACATGAATCTCAGTCCACAAATGTGTATCACGAGTTTGTGATTCTTAATTGGAGAGCTATCTTGTAATGATTTAGCACAACTTTTCAGTTAAGAATCTTAAGCTTGGTCAGTGTTCACAAATAATATTTCCTTTGTACAGTATAATTCTTCAAGCAGAGTTGTACAAAACATGTGATTCTGCTTGAGTGATTATTATAGAGAAACTCCAGTGGTACCAAATCTCGATGCACTAGCTAATCAAAAGTGCTGAATTGTTTGTTGAGTGAAATGAGTACTGAAAATTTCTTAAGTTTGCCTTAAACAAAACAGTAATAATTGAGCACAAGAATATGCAAAATGATTAAATGAACAATCTCTCTTGGAATAGTGGTCTGTAGAAAATTGAAAATTTAACTGAAGAGTCATGGAAGAAGAACCAAATAGCCAAGGACCTGAGGGTGAAGTAAGTAAAAGAAAACATTGGAAGTATCGTATTAAGGTCTTAGATGGCAATAAAATACAGTATCTTAAGACTATAGAATATAAATGTACCTCCAATGGAGGAAATTAAGTCTTCTTAGTTAATGTAGTTATAATATGTTTCACTATTGTTATCTTCTATTTTAAGAATACTGTGGTGCCCATTAAACAATTAAAAAATTCTCTTGTAAAAAGAGTAGTCTTTAGAGTACAGCTTTTATCCATTTTATTTAGAATCTACTATGTGACTGTGCTTATTGAATTCCTGATGAAAATACAATGGTTTTGCCTAAAAAATGTTTTCTACTATTTCAGGTTATGCCATTTGACATGGTTAAAATTTACTGCCATTCCAGCAGTCTTGCATTTCTCTGTGTTATGTTAATTTATCAGTTTTTGGTTAGGTAT